CTGCTCCCCACTCTGTCTCTGGTGAATCCTCTCACCCTCCGCATCTCTGGCCTGTACCCCAGTTCTGTACGAATAAATAAATAAATCTTAAAAAAGTTGGTCTGAACCTGAAAGGCAGACCTTAAGTTACTTTACTGCCATCTGCTGGAAAACGGTTGCAGTTGCAGTTCATATCTTAGATTCCAGGCATGCCCTGGTGCTGTGGCTTGCTTGTCAACCTTCAGTGCCCTCGTCCGTGGGGCCACCATACTCGACAGTGATGATCTTCTCTTCTGCCTCTCCCAGCCAGATCCGATGCCGGTTCTTCATGCGAGGGAACGGCCGCTGCCCCTTCAAATCTGACTGCATTTATCTGCACCAGCTCCCCTCTAAGGCTCCAAGCTCGGGTCCTCCCTGGCCAGAAAGAATGCAGTTGGTCTCTGGGAGTAAGGTGCGGAACAGCATGGGAAGGGGGTTGCTGGTGACGGCTTCTAGTAACTGTCATATCTGCTTAGAAGCGGCACCTTCTGCTGTACGTGACCCACTTCAACAATATGTCGGCCTTGATTCTCTTTTGCCTGGGGCAGCTGATGGGTTTGCACTGATTTCTTTTCCCTATACTCCCAGATGCTGGGCCCAGCTGTGTTCTCAGGACACAGCTCTTGATTCTCTTTTTCCTGGGGCAGCTGATGGGTTTGCACTGATTTCTTTTCCCTATACTCCCAGATGCTGGGCCCAGCTGTGTTCTCAGGACACAGCTCTTGATTCTCTTTTTCCTGGGGCAGCTGATGGGTTTGCACTGATTTCTTTTCCCTATACTCCCAGATGCTGGGCCCAGCTGTGTTCTCAGGAGGTGCTGAGCAGGAGGACGAAGTGTTCTTTACAGACTGTGTCCTGACCATGGCCTTCTGTGGTTGACGTTGAACTTTCCCACCAGATCCTAACAGTTCTTGCCACAGTCTCCTGTAACCAGGATTAGTGGGGCTTGTGTATGTGTGTGTGTGTGGGGGGGGGTTGTCAAGTGGCGAGAGTTGCTAGGGGGCAGGCCTTTCCCTTTCTGGGACTGCTAGGGGATGAAGGTTGTGAGGCTTCCATCCCATGAAATGCAGCTGGGGAGCAGGAGGAGGGGTGGTGGTTCTCTCTGGAGGGTTCTCATGCACTTGCCAGGGCCTTGTTTTTTAATTGTGCTTTTTTGCAGAAGGAAATCAATAAAATGCACCTAAGCCATGACTGTGGTGTCTGAAGAGTGTTCTGCTTACAGCCCAGGTCCTTCCCCTCACCTGCACCAGTTGCTTCTGCAGTCCACCTGTTGCAATATCACCCATAACTCAGCCTCTAGAAACTCACCTTTCTTCACAAGAGACTGAGAATGAAAAGGGCCAATAACATCATAGTAATATGAAAATACTAATGACCTCACAGATCCCAGGATGGGTTTGGGGGATTTGCTCAGGGTTCCTGAAACATGCTTGGCACTTTTCCTCCCTCCCTTGTCTCCTTCCCATTGGCTGGACCTTCCAGGGCATACTCTACCACGAGAAGGATGGGCAGGCATTGCAGTCTAGTTCACATCCTTGACCATACCCACTACCTGTCAGAACCTGCCTTCCCGTCTCCAATAGTTGATCATTTGAAGATATAAAACATCAGAATCACTAATCTGAGATATCATTGTCTGGGAGAAACTTATTTCCTGCCTGCTATTTTGGCCTTTGCAAAGTAGACACTACTTAAGGAATATTCCTTAGTCTTTTTCAATAGTTCTCTTGAAGACATTTTGGGGAAAAAACCTAAAATCTGGGCTTGAGTGGAAACCAGCTCAAGGTCAAAACACTCCCATGTTTTCCATACTACTCAGAGTGGAAGCTAAAGAACTCTTGGTGACCTCCAAGCTCAGGCAATCTGGCCCATTGCCTCTCTGATCTCATCTCTTTACTCCCCAGCGAGTTCACTCTGCTTCAGCCACACTTCTCTTCCAGGACCTTTTGCATTTTCCGTCTCTTCTCGTCTCTCTGAAACAGGGTCCCTACAAACCTCTTGCTTCTGTCTCTCCCTCAGGTTCATCTTACCTGACCATTCTATTTAAAGTTAATGTACTCTATCTCCCTTCCTTGATATCATCTCCTTGAAGTTACTTAATCAAACATTTTGTTCATTTATTTAGTTGTCTGTCTCTCCCAGTTTGAATGACAGTGAGGGCAAGGGGCCCCTGTATTCCCAGACCCTAACTGTTCAGGAAAGACTTACTGAATGAATGAATGTGTGTATGCAGAAGATGGGAGGCTGAGAATGCAAACTGGCATGCAAAGAAGGGTTTGTAGGGTTCTCTCCTTTCCCCCCTTTTTCCAACCTTCTGCAGTGATTCACTTCACCCATGCCCCTCCCCGGGAAGCCTGCCTCCTTCAAATTTCCTTAAAATGAAATCCTGAGAAGTGAGATCACTCTTAGCCCCCAGAGCAAGGGTGCTTTCCTGGAAATTCACATCAAGACATTTTACCATATCAGTGGGAGTAGTTTTTTTTTTATCTCTTTAAGATTTTATTTATTTATGCATACAAGAACTGGGGTGTCAGCCAGAAGTGCGGGAGGTGAGAGGATTCACCAGAGACAGAGCAGGGAGCAGAACAGGCAAATCCACTGAAGTACACTGCTGAGGGGAGCAGTGGGCAGGTCAGGAAAGGTCTGCTGTGCCATGAGGATCACCTCCCTGGCTGGGGATCCAACTCATGCCATAGTGGCTATGGATAACTTCTCAATATTGAGGCTTAACCCCTTGCACCACCAGGGAGGCCCAGCAGTATGTTTTATGGCACCTCCATCCTCAGAGGTATTTGTCCATCAAATAATAACTTTGGCGAGGACTTAATGATAGCAGTTGATGGCTTGTGAAAGAGATGAAGCTATGATGGGTTGGAAAATTATGATCAAATCCTATAATAAAACTTTACAAACGACAAGAGGGTCAGCTAAAATTAAATGCAAGTGCACTTTGGATCCTGAAGTACAACACGATCCTTGACATCCGTTCTGCAGCCTACACTTCAGTGAGCTGCGGAGAAAGGAAGACGGCTCAGGACCCCACAACTAGACCTGCTACGCCCCACTCCACGCAACTGAGTGACCTGATCCCGCCCACAAGCAAATCTCTTTCGTCCTGGCCCCGCCCCAATCTTTACTCCGCCCAATACAGAGTCAATACACAGCCTCTCTTCGCCCCGCCCCTACTCCTCCCGGGTATCCCTCCCAGACCCCGCCCCTTCCGGCCACCTCACGTCCGGTCCCGCCCCCGGCCGCTCCCCCTGCGTCTTTCCTTTTTGCTTTAAGTTCTTAGATCGTTATCCCACAGGGCGGCCTGACTAGGGGTGGCGGCTTCCCAGCGACAGGGAGAGAGGGGGTCCCGGCGTTGCACGCCTGGTCCTTTTCCCTCCGTTTGCGAGCTGAGCCCCGAAACCAGAGCTGGAAGCGGCGCGGTATGGCGGCCCCAGAGGGGGAGCCCGCCGGGGCCGAGGCCGCTGAGCCGGCGTTTTGGGCCCAGCTGGAGGCCCCTGTCCGCCTCCTGCTGCGGGCGCTGCAGGCTGGGCCCGACGGGGCGCGGCGCGGCCTGGGGGTGCTGCGGACGCTGGGCAGCCGCAGCGGGGAGCCCTTCGTCTGGGGCCGCCTCCTCGAGGCGCTGTGCCGGGAGGAGCCGGTCGTTGAGGGCCCGGACTGCCGCCTGAAGCTGTAAGTCGTCGGCCCTCCCGGGATGGCGGCCGCGACGCCGCGTTTTATCCCCCGCAGCCGTGCGGTGCTGGCTACCCCCCTTTTTAAAGACGAGGCGCTGAGACTGGGCGGGGCTCATTGCTTCCCCGCGGCTGGGGTTCCCTGCTGCGTACCCGGAGAGGGGCTGCCCGGCAGACCTGGGAGCACCCACTGCCTACCGCCTGGCCGTGAGCCTGGGCGTAGGACGCGCCTTCTGTGGGGTGTAAATGGCCTGAGTCTGCGGGCAGCGGGACAGAAGTCAGTTTTGATCGCGACGCCCGGATAGGTGTACTTACCTGTAGAGCGTACACGAATGCAGAAACAAACGTATAGAAACAGACGTATCCAGAAACCAATGAAGACGTGATAAATCTCCTCTGGCTTTATATTAATTATTCAAAGTATAACGTCTTAGACCAAGATCACTTTCCTTCAGAGCGATGTTCTTGATAAGGTCCAGTCTGTTGGGTAACTGAACTCTTCCCCTCTGTGACTGACAGTTTCTACCAGCAGAAATGTTAGTTCTGCCATTTTCTTACTTGGTTGTGTTTGTGTTGGCAATGTTCTCACTTTCTTTACAAAGTGGTTGTCATACTCTGGTTTCTCTTCAGTTCGTGTAAATCTCTTGCCTTTTACAAAGTGGCTATCAGCCATGTGTCCATCCCGTGAGGGTTCATTTTGTTCAAAGAGATAGTACACTGTATCCATCAGTGCACTGAACTATCATAAGTTAACTCACAAACAAAAGAGCAGGTTGCCACAAAAGTGAGGTGCCACTTTTAGCTCCTAGATGGGGAACAGAGCTGGCCTTTCACTCCTGGCTATCCCTCCTGCAGAAGTAGACTGGGGACAAATAAAGGGGAGAATCCATATAGTAAATATTTGTCATGGTTAATTTCTTATGTTTTATTTTATTTAAAGATATATTTGTTTATGCATACAGAACTGGGGTGTGCGAGGGGATGAGAGCATTCACGGGAGACAGAGAGGGGCGGATTGACTAAGTACATGCTGAGGGGAGCAGCAGGCAAGACAGGAGAGGTCTGCTGCACCATGTGGGTCACCTGCCTGGCCAGGGATCCAACACATGCTGCAGTGGCTGCAGTAGCTTCATAGTTCTGTGCTTTAACCTGTTGTGCCACCAGGGAGGGCCCAACTTCTTATGTTTTAAATAAGTAGAAATAGGATTTCTAATGTTTTCCTCCCACATTCCCTTCACGAGGTGGATCAGGAGAACAGTCTGATTCCCCACATTGCAGGACTTGTCTAGCTGTCACAGTTGGGCCTTTTACACTTTTAATACTTACTCTAGTGAGGGGCCCATGTACACAAAAAAGTTAAGCCTTTGGAGTAGGGTCTTCCTATCTCTTTCCAAATATCCTCTACCACAGATTAGCCATCTTTTCAATGATTAGTTTTCTTTTGGTGTTTATTTTCCACAAAGAAATGTGTTCTCTAAAGTGCCTGTATGTGATGACAACAGCCTTGTCATCAAAGTCGTGTAGATGACTTTGGAAGTCGTGTAGACAGAAGCAGAGGCATGATGGGTGGTAGGCTAGTTGCATCCAAGACTTGCCACACCAACAAATCTCAGGTCACACATCATCTGGATTCATGTCTTCATGACATGCAGTCACTATACTAGGTTGCTCTGTCCTCAGCAGTCCTTGTGTTCTCTGCATGCTTACTCTGAGACAATAAATCCATCCAATAAAAGTGCCCCAAGGCCTCCCTGATGGCGCAGCACTAAGAAGCTAAACCCATTTCCACATGAGTTCGATTCCCGCCTGCCCCGGAGGTGACCACAT